TAAAGGACTAGGAACATGCTCAAGCTGCAGGACATAAAGGACTAGGAACATGCTCAAGCTGCAGGCCATAAAGGACTAGGAACATGCTCAAGCTGCAGGCCATAAAGGACTAGGAACATGCTCAAGCTGCAGGCCATAAAGGACCTGGAACATGCTCAAGCTGCAGGACATAAAGGACTAGGAACATGCTCAAGCTGCAGGACATAAAGGACTAGGAACATGCTCAAGCTGCAGGCCATAAAGGACTAGGAACATGCTCAAGCTGCAGGCCATAAAGGACTAGGAACATGCTCAAGCTGCAGGCCATAAAGGACTAGGAACATGCTCAAGCTGCAGGACATAAAGGACTAGGAACATGCTCAAGCTGCAGGCCATAAAGGACTAGGAACATGCTCAAGCTGAAGGACATAAAGGACTAGGAACATGCTCAAGCTGCAGGCCATAAAGGACTAGGAACATGCTCAAGCTGCAGGCCATAAAGGACTAGGAACATGCTCAAGCCGCAGGCCATAAAGGACTAGAACATGCAAGCTGCAGGCCATAAAGGACTAGGAACATGCTCAAGCTGCAGGCCATAAAGGAGGCCATAAAGGACTAGGAACATGCTCAAGCCGCAGGCCATAAAGGACTAGGAACATGCTCAAGCTGCAGGACATAAAGGACTAGGAACATGCTCAAGCTGCAGGCCATAAAGGACTAGGAACATGCTCAAGCTGCAGGACATAAAGGACTAGGAACATGCTCAAGCTGCAGGCCATAAAGGACTAGGAACATGCTCAAGCTGCAGGACATAAAGGACTAGGAACATGCTCAAGCTGCAGGCCATAAAGGACTAGGAACATGCTCAAGCTGCAGGCCATAAAATACTAGGAACATGCTCAAGCTGCAGGCCATAAAGGACCTGGAACATGCTCAAGCTGCAGGCCATAAAGGACTAGGAACATGCTCAAGCCGCAGGCCATAAAGGACTAGGAACATGCTCAAGCCGCAGGCCATAAAGGACTAGGAACATGCTCAAGCTGCAGGCCATAAAGGACCTGGAACATGCTCAAGCTGCAGGCCATAAAGGACTAGGAACATGCTCAAGCTGCAGGCCATAAAGGACCTGGAACATGCTCAAGCTGCAGGCCATAAAGGACTAGGAACATGCTCAAGCTGCAGGACATAAAGGACTAGGAACATGCTCAAGCTGCAGGCAGGACATAAAGGACTAGGAACATGCTCAAGCTGCAGGCCATAAAGGACTAGGAACATGCTCAAGCTGCAGGCCATAAAGGACTAGGAACATGCTCAAGCTGCAGGCCATAAAGGACTAGGAACATGCTCAAGCTGCAGGCCATAAAGGACTAGGAACATGCTCAAGCTGCAGGCCATAAAGGACCTGGAACATGCTCAAGCTGCAGGCCATAAAGGACTAGGAACATGCTCAAGCTGCAGGCCATAAAGGACCTGGAACATGCTCAAGCTGCAGGCCATAAAGGACTAGGAACATGCTCAAGCTGCAGGCCATAAAGGACTAGGAACATGCTCAAGCTGCAGGCCATAAAGGACTAGGAACATGCTCAAGCTGCAGGCCATAAAGGACCTGGAACATGCTCAAGCTGCAGGCCATAAAGGACTAGGAACATGCTCAAGCTGCCATAAAGGACTAGGAACATGCTCAAGCTGCAGGCCATAAAGGACTAGGAACATGCTCAAGCTGCAGGACATAAAGGACTAGGAACATGCTCAAGCTGCAGGCCATAAAGGACTAGGAACATGCTCAAGCTGCAGGCCATAAAGGACTAGGAACATGCTCAAGCTGCAGGACATAAAGGACTAGGAACATGCTCAAGCTGCAGGCCATAAAGGACTAGGAACATGCTCAAGCCGCAGGCCATAAAGGACTAGGAACATGCTCAAGCTGCAGGCCATAAAGGACTAGGAACATGCTCAAGCTGCAGGCCATAAAGGACTAGGAACATGCTCAAGCTGCAGGCCATAAAGGACTAGGAACATGCTCAAGCTGCAGGCCATAAAGGACTAGGAACATGCTCAAGCTGCAGGCCATAAAGGACCTGGAACATGCTCAAGCTGCAGGCCATAAAGGACTAGGAACATGCTCAAGCTCAAGCTGCAGGCCATAAAGGACTAGGAACATGCTCAAGCTGCAGGCCATAAAGGACTAGGAACATGCTCAGGCCATAAAGGACTAGGAACATGCTCAAGCCGCAGGCCATAAAGGACTAGGAACATGCTCAAGCTGCAGGACATAAAGGACTAGGAACATGCTCAAGCTGCAGGCCATAAAGGACTAGGAACATGCTCAAGCTGCAGGCCATAAAGGACTAGGAACATGCTCAAGCCGCAGGCCATAAAGGACTAGGAACATGCTCAAGCTGCAGGCCATAAAGGACCTGGAACATGCTCAAGCTGCAGGCCATAAAGGACTAGGAACATGCTCAAGCTGCAGGCCATAAAGGACTAGGAACATGCTCAAGCTGCAGGCCATAAAGGACTAGGAACATGCTCAAGCTGCAGGCCATAAAGGACTAGGAACATGCTCAAGCTGCAGGCCATAAAGGACTAGGAACATGCTCAAGCTGCAGGACATAAAGGACTAGGAACATGCTCAAGCTGCAGGCCATAAAGGACTAGGAACATGCTCAAGCTGCAGGACATAAAGGACTAGGAACATGCTCAAGCTGCAGGCCATAACTAAATGACAAAGGTGTAATTGGAACGGGAACGGCGTCGCCTCTATGACAACCTGGAGCACTGTACCCAGTCACTGTACCCCCGTCACTGTACCCCCAGTCACTGTACCCAGTCACTGTACCCAGTCACTGTACCCAGTCACTGTACCCAGTCACTGTACCCAGTCACTGTACCCAGTCACTGTACCCCCGTCACTGTACCCAGTCACTGTACCCCAGTCACTGTACCCAGTCACTGTACCCCAGTCACTGTACCCCAGTCACTGTACCCCAGTCACTGTACTCCAGTCACTGTACTCCAGTCACTGTACCCCAGTCACTGTACCCCAGTCACTGTTCCCCAGTCACTGTACTCCAGTCACTGTACCCCAGTCACTGTACTCCAGTCACTGTACCCCAGTCACTGTACTCCAGTCACTGTACCCCAGTCACTGTACTCCAGTCACTGTACCCCAGTCACTGTACCCCGTCACTGTACCCAGTCACTGTACCCCAGTCACTGTACGCCAGTCACTGTACCCCAGTCACTGTACCCCAGTCACTGTACCCCAGTCACTGTACCCAGTCACTGTACCCCAGTCACTGTACCCCAGTCACTGTACCCCAGTCACTGTACCCCAGTCACTGTACCCCGTCACTGTACCCCAGTCACTGTACCCCAGTCACTGTACCCCTAGTCACTGTACCCCCAGTCACTGTACCCCAGTCACTGTACCCAGTCACTGTACCCAGTCACTGTACCCCAGTCACTGTACCCAGTCACTGTACCCCCAGTCACTGTACCCCAGTCACTGTACCCCAGTCACTGTACCCGTCACTGTACCCCGTCACTGTACCCCAGTCACTGTACCCCAGTCACTGTACCCCTAGTCACTGTACCCCCAGTCACTGTACCCCAGTCACTGTACCCCTAGTCACTGTACCCCTAGTAACTGTACCCAGTCACTGTACCCCAGTCACTGTACCCAGTCACTGTACCCAGTCACTGTACCCCCGTCACTGTACCCCCGTCACTGTACCCCCGTCACTGTACCCCCGTCACTGTACCCCCGTCACTGTAACCCCAGTCACTGTACCCCCCGTCACTGTACCCCCGTCACTGTACCCCGTCACTGTACCCCCGTCACTGTACCCCCGTCACTGTACCCCAGTCACTGTACCCCAGTCACTGTACCCCGTCACTGTACCCCAGTCACTGTACCCCGTCACTGTACCCCAGTCACTGTACCCCGTCACTGTACCCCAGTCACTGTACCCCAGTCACTGTACCCCGTCACTGTACCCCAGTCACTGTACCCAGTGACACCGACCAATATCTGGCACTTTCGGAAGGTTGACTGCGCCAACTATCAAATTAAACGTGTAGACCTGTACACGTCTGGGGCGCCACACCCTGTACACGTCTGGGGCGCCACACCCTGTACACGTCTGGGGCGCCACACCCTGTACACGTCTGGGGCGCCACACCCTGTACACGTCTGGGGCGCCACACCCTGTACACGTCTGGGGCGCCACACCCTGTACACGTCTGGGGCGCCACACCCTGTGGACACGTCTGGGGCGCCACACCCTGTGGACACGTCTGGGGCGCCACACCCTGTGGACACGTCTGGGGCGCCACACCCTGTGGACACGTCTGGGGCGCCAGACCCAGTGGACACGTCTGGGGCGCCACACCATGTGGACACGTCTGGGGCGCCACACCCTGTGGACACGTCTGGGGCGCCACACCCTGTGGACACGCCTGGCGCGCCACACCCTGTGGACACGTTTGGGGCGCCACACCCTGTGGACACGTCTGGGGCGCCACACCCTGTGGACACGTCTGGGGCGCCACACCGTGTACACGTCGGGGGCGCCACACCCTGTGGACACGTCTGGGCGCCACACCGTGTACACGTCTGGGGCGCCACACCCTGTGGACACGTCTGGGGCGCCACACCCTGTGGACACGTCTGGGGCGCCACACCGTGTACACGTCTGGGGCGCCACACCCTGTGGACACGTCTGGGGCGCCACACCGTGTACACGTCTGGGGCGCCACACCCTGTGTACACCTCTGGGGCGCCACACCGTGTACACGTCTGGGGCGCCACACCCTGTGGACACGTCTGGGGCGCCACACCGTGTACACGTCTGGGGCGCCACACCCTGTGGACACGTCTGGGGCGCCACACCGTGTACACGTCTGGGGCGCCACACCCTGTGGACACGTCTGGGGCGCCACACCCTGTGTACACCTCTGGGGCGCCACACCCTGTGTACACCTCTGGGGCGCCACACCGTGTACACGTCCTGTGGACAATGTGTGAGAGTGGACTAAGGGAAAGTGAGAGAACCTGACATTCAACATGCCAATGGGACGGCGTGAACCACGACCCGCTGCCTATGACGGCTGTTTTTGCCTCGTCATGACTTGACTTAGAATCATAAAAATAAAACAAACACTCACGGCCCCAAGCCAGGAGCCAGCACTCGGCCCCAAGCCAGGAGCCAGCACTCGGCCCCAAGCCAGGCGCCAGCACTCGGCCCCAAGCCAGGCGCCAGCACTCGGCCCCAAGCCAGGCGTCAGCACTCGGCCCCAAGCCAGGCGTCAGCACTCGGCCCCAAGCCAGGCGCCAGCACTCGGCCCCAAGCCAGGCGTCAGCACTCGACCCCAAGCCAGGAGCCAGCACTCGGCCCCAAGCCAGGAGCCAGCACTCGGCCCCAAGCCAGGAGCCAGCACTCGGCCCCAAGCCAGGAGCCAGCACTCGGCCCCAAGCCAGGAGCCAGCACTCGGCCCCAAGCCAGGAGCCAGCACTCGGCCCCAAGCCAGGCGTCAGCACTCGGCCCCAAGCCAGGCGTCAGCACTCGGCCCCAAGCCAGGCGCCAGCACTCGGCCCCAAGCCAGGCGTCAGCACTCGGCCCCAAGCCAGGAGCCAGCACTCGGCCCCAAGCCAGGCGCCAGCACTCGGCCCCAAGCCAGGAGCCAGCACTCGGCCCCAAGCCAGGAGCCAGCACTCGGCCCCAAGCCAGGAGCCAGCACTCGGCCCCAAGCCAGGAGCCAGCACTCGGCCCCAAGCCAGGAGCCAGCACTCGGCCCAAGCCAGGAGCCAGCACTCGGCCCCAAGCCAGGCGCCAGCACTCGGCCCCAAGCCAGGAGCCAGCACTCGGCCCCAAGCCAGGAGCCAGCACTCGGCCCCAAGCCAGGAGCCAGCACTCGGCCCCAAGCCAGGCGCCAGCACTCGGCCCCAAGCCAGGCGCCAGCACTCGGCCCCAAGCCAGGAGCCAGCACTCGGCCCCAAGCCAGGCGCCAGCACTCGGCCCCAAGCCAGGAGCCAGCACTCGGCCCCAAGCCAGGAGCCAGCACTCGGCCCCAAGCCAGGAGCCAGCACTCGGCCCCAAGCCAGGAGCCAGCACTCGGCCCCTAGCCAGGAGCCAGCACTCGGCCCCAAGCCAGGAGCCAGCACTCGGCCCCAAGCCAGGAGCCAGCACTCGGCCCCAAGCCAGGAGCCAGCACTCGGCCCCAAGCCAGGCGTCAGCACTCGGCCCCAAGCCAGGAGCCAGCACTCGGCCCCAAGCCAGGAGCCAGCACTCGGCCCCAAGCCAGGAGCCAGCACTCGGCCCCAAGCCAGGAGCCAGCACTCGGCCCCAAGCCAGGAGCCAGCACTCGGCCCCAAGCCAGGAGCCAGCACTCGGCCCCAAGCCAGGTCAGCACTCGGCCCCAGCAGTCAGCACTCGGCCCCAAGCCAGGCGCCAGCACTCGGCCCCAAGCCAGGCGCCAGCACTCGGCCCCAAGCCAGGAGCCAGCACTCGGCCCCAAGCCAGGAGCCAGCACTCGGCCCCAAGCCAGGAGCCAGCACTCGGCCCCAAGCCAGGAGCCAGCACTCGGCCCCAAGCCAGGAGCCAGCACTCGGCCCCAAGCCCCAAGCCAGGCGTCAGCACTCGGCCCCAAGCCAGGCGCCAGCACTCGGCCCCAAGCCAGGAGTCAGCACTCGGCCCCAAGCCAGGCGTCAGCACTCGGCCCCAAGCCAGCACTCGGCCCCAAGCCAGGAGCCAGCACTCGGCCCCAAGCCAGGAGTCAGCACTCGGCCCCAAGCCTGGAGTCAGCACTCGGCCCCAAGCCAGGAGCCAGCACTCGGCCCCAAGCCAGGCGCCAGCACTCGGCCCCAAGCCAGGAGCCAGCACTCGGCCCCAAGCCAGGCGCCAGCACTCGGCCCCAAGCCAGGAGCCAGCACTCGGCAGCCCAAGCCAGGCCAGCCAGCACTCGGCCCCAAGCCAGGAGCCAGCACTCGGCCCCAAGCCAGGCGCCAGCACTCGGCCCCAAGCCAGGAGCCAGCACTCGGCCCCAGCCAGGCCAGGAGCCAGCACTCGGCCCCAAGCCAGGAGCCAGCACTCGGCCCCAAGCCCAGCAAGCCAGGAGTCAGCACTCGGCCCCAAGCCAGGAGCCAGCACTCGGCCCCAAGCCAGGAGCCAGCACTCGGCCCCAAGCCAGCCCCAAGAGCCAGCACTCGGCCCCAAGCCAGGAGCCAGCACTCGGCCCCAAGCCAGGAGCCAGCACTCGGCCCCAAGCCAGGAGCCAGCACTCGGCCCCAAGCCAGGAGGTGTCAGCACTCGGCCCCAAGCCAGGAGTCAGCACTCGGCCCCAAGCCAGGAGCCAGCACTCGGCCCCAAGCCAGGAGCCAGCACTCGGCCCCAAGCCAGGAGTCAGCACTCGGCCCCAAGCCAGGAGCCAGCACTCGGCCCCAAGCCAGGTCAGTCAGCACTCGGCCCCAAGCCAGGAGCCAGCACTCGGCCCCAAGCCAGGAGCCAGCACTCGGCCCCAAGCCAGGCGTCAGCACTCGGCCAGGCGTCAGCACTCGGCCCCAGCCAGGCGTCAGCACTCGGCCCCAAGCCAGGCGTCAGCACTCGGCCCCAAGCCAGGCGTCAGCACTCGGCCCCAAGCCAGGCGTCAGCACTCGGCCCCAAGCCAGGCGTCAGCACTCGGCCCCAAGCCAGGAGTCAGCACTCGGCCCCAAGCCAGGAGTCAGCACTCGGCCCCAAGCCAGGAGTCAGCACTCGGCCCCCAAGCCACTCGGGCCAGTCAGCACTCGGCCCCAAGCCAGGAGTCAGCACTCGGCCCCAAGCCAGGAGTCAGCACTCGGCCCCAAGCCAGGAGTCAGCACTCGGCCCCAAGCCAGGAGTCAGCACTCGGCCCCAAGCCAGGAGTCAGCACTCGGCCCCAAGCCAGGAGTCAGCACTCGGCCCCAAGCCAGGAGTCAGCACTCGGCCCCAAGCCAGGAGTCAGCACTCGGCCCCAAGCCAGGAGTCAGCACTCGGCCCCAAGCCAGGAGTCAGCACTCGGCCCCAAGCCAGGAGTCAGCACTCGGCCCCAAGCCAGGAGTCAGCACTCGGCCCCAAGCCAGGAGTCAGCACTCGGCCCCAAGCCAGGAGTCAGCACTCGGCCCCAAGCCAGGCGTCAGCACTCGGCCCCAAGCCAGGAGTCAGCACTCGGCCCCAAGCCAGGCGTCAGCACTCGGCCCCAAGCCAGGAGTCAGCACTCGGCCCCAAGCCAGGAGTCAGCACTCGGCCCCAAGCCAGGCGTCAGCACTCGGCCCCAAGCCAGGAGTCAGCACTCGGCCCCAAGCCAGGAGTCAGCACTCGGCCCCAAGCCAGGAGTCAGCACTCGGCCCCAAGCCATGTCAGCACTCGGAACGTCAGCACTGGCCGGTCAGCACTCGGTGCGACCTGTAATGGCCTTCCAGCGGTCGAGGAGGAGGAGTGGGGGCGGGGGGGAGTGGTAGGCGAACATGACCTCAGAGGAACTCTGAAGGAGGAGGGGGGGGGGAGTGGTAGGCGAACATGACCTCAGAGGGACTCTGAAGGAGGACGGGGGGGGGGGGGGGAGTGGTAGGCGAACATGCCTCTCAGAGGGACTCTGAAGGAGGAGGAGGGAGGGGGGAGTGGTAGGCGAACATGACCTCAGAGGGACTCTGAAGGACGTGGGTCAACCACAAGGCCTCACTGGCTTACTCAGGTCCAAGTGAGTGACTCAGTAAGAGATTGAGATATTTGTAAAGAGGCATCAGAACTGCTGCTTCGAGAATCAATGCAAAGACTTTACTTGAGTATGTTACAGCAGTAACGTTGTATGGTAGCAGGGAATATATTGTACCATTAGTGGTACAACATATGTCAGTTCATGTTACGTTAAATATATATACAGTGTTCAATAACAAAGTGTTACCAAGTGCAACCAGTAGGAAGTGTTACTCAGTATATATATTAGTATTCCTCAGGCTACTCTCCCCTCCCACTTACTCTCCCCTCCTTCTTAATCTTCCTACCCCTCCTCCTCTCCTACCTCCGCGCTTCCCATGCGCCCCTCGTTTTCTGTTACCCCACAGACGAGTTCCCCCTCCCCGTCCACGTTTTCTAATCTTTCCCACCTATCCACCCATCATTATCCCTCCTCTCTTGATTCCTTCCTCTGCTTTACTTCTCACCATCAAATATAGTCTAGGATACAATAATATTTAGTGTACAACTTTAGTAGTGTTACATTATTAGTGGTACTGTATGGTGGTGTTACAAATGTTACATTATTAGTGGTACTGTATGGTGGTGTTACAAATGAATACTGGTGTTACATCGTCAACCAGGCCTTGTAACACCCAGGACCCCCCCCCCCCCTCAGAGTTCACACCCAGGGAAGCCTTCTCCAAGAGGTCAGCCTAGATGACCTCCAGTTTATCTTGTATATTGATTAACAATTCCTGGGTTAGTCTTAGTCAGCATAGTTTCAAGTATGTAATATTTCATGCAAGGAAATTAGACTCCAGATTCTTATGTGTAAACATCCTTGGATCTCCCCCTTTTTGGCCAGGTCAGAGGTCAGTCACATGTAATTAATAACTCCTCTCTTGAAGAGTGTATGGTGAATGTCAAACAAGCTCTTGAAATATTTCTTGAGTGTTTGTACATTCTTGGTGGGTAGCAACAGCAGATCTCCCCCTTCCCCTGTGGGGGTTGTATATAACGGTCCTGTAGGGACTTGGGATAGGCAGAGTGCGGTACACCGGGATCGAGAGCGGGGCTGTGAAGAACATCTCAGCCAGGGAGAGACAGATAGCTTAAGGTAATGTGTGTGATCTCTGAGTTTTTGTTCCATGTCCAAATTTCTTAACTTTTTGCCAGTGTTAGGGTAGGATTTATAATTGGTGATTGACATAATTTTGGTCTCAATAAACTTACGTGAAATTTCCCGTCTGTGTCAATTGTTGAATCCTCTTAGCCTTTTGGATATAGTGGCTGACAACCGTTTTCATAATTAATGACAGTCATAGAAGTACTCTCCAAGTCAAGCAATGTTTCTTGCCTCGTTGCTTGATATAGTTTCAATGGTCAAAGGCAGATGGTGGCAGCGTATTTAATCTTTGTGTTAGCATTTCCTTATTGGCAGTGTATCTTTGGTTCCGGTGTAACCATCATATGTCAGCTCATAACAGTGTTATCAAGTGCAACCGATGAGGAAGTGTTACTCAGGATCAGTAGTGTGTACATTATAGTGGTGTTCCAGTATAGTGGTACACAATAGAGCGGTGGTACAATAGAGCGGTGTTACAGCCTCCTCGTTGCTGAACTGGTCAACCAGGCTGTTAAACGCGATTGCTCGCAGCTTGACGTATGAATCACAGCCTGGTTGATCAGGTATCATTTGGAGGTATTTGTAGAGTTCTCTCTTGAACACTGTGAGGGGTCGGCCAGTTATGCCCCTTATGTGTAGTGGAAGCGTGTTGAACAGTCTCAGGCCTCTGATGTTGATAGAGTTCTCTCTCAGAGTACCTGTTGCACCTATGCTCTTCAACGGGGGTATTCTGCACATCCTGCCATGCCTCCTGGTCTCATGTGGTGTTATTTCTGTGTGCAGGTTTGGGACCAGCCCCTCTACTATTTTCCACGAGTAAATTATTATGTATCTCTCCCGCCTGCGCTCAAAAGAATACAGATTTAGGTATTTTAGTAGTTTCCAATAGTTTAGATGTTTTACTGAGTGGTTTCTAGCAGTAAAAGATCTTTTCATGCTCTCCAGGTCCGCAGTTTCTCCAGCTTTGAAAAGGGCTATTATTGTGCAGCAGTATTCCACTCTAACGAGCATTAACGTCCTGAAAAGCATCATCTGCATAGCATCTCTAGTGTGAAAAGTTCTTGTTATCCAACCTGTCATTTTTCTTGCAGTTGTGACGGCTATTTTATTGTGTTCTTTAAAGGTAAGGTCTTCCGACATGAGTACACCCAGATCCTTTACATTACCTTTTCGTTCTATGTTATGATTTGCCTGAGTTTTGTACGTGGTTTCTGCTTTTATATTCTCATTATTTCCGTAGCGTAGGAGCTGGAACTTATCTTCGTTATATACCATATTATTTTCTGTAGCCCATAGAAAAACCTGCTCTACATCTGATTGGAGGTTCGCTGTGTCCTCTATGTTGTCTACTCTCATGAAAATCCTAGTGTCACCTGCAAAGGATGATACAGTGCTATAGATTGTGTCCTTGTCTATGTCCGATATGAGGATGAGAAAAAGTACTGGAGCAAGCACAGTACCCTGGGGGACTGAGCTCTTCACGGTTGATGGTCCGGATTTTATTTTGTTGACAATTACACATTGGGTTCTGTTGGTCAGGAAATTGTAGATTCATCTGCCTATATTTCTGGTAATTCCTTTTGCACGCATTTTATGTGCAACAACACCATGATCACATTTATCAAAAGCTTTTGTGAAATCTGTGTAAATTACATCAGCGTTTTGTTTGTCTTCCATGGCATCTAATGCCATATCATAGTGGTCCAGCAACTGTGACAGGCAAGAGCGCCCTGTTCTGAACCCGTGTTGTCCGGGGTTATGGAGATGCTGTGATTCCATGTGTTTTGTGATCTTATTTCTTAGCACTCTTTCTAAAGATTTTTATGATGTTTGATTTTAGTGCTATAGGTCTAATTTTTTGCCTTATTTCCTTCTTTATACAGTGGTGTTATCTCTGCTGTTTTTAGGATGTCATGGATAACGCCAGTATCTAGGCTCTGTCTCCAAACAATGTGAATTGGCCTGTGATTGTTTTTTTTTACAGTTCTTGATGAATATGAAGTTCCAGGAATCCGGGCCTGGTGCAGAGTGCATAGGCATACTGTTTATGGCTTCTTCAAAATCCAATGGGGATTTTGAAGAAGCCATAAGATAGATTAAGATAAGCCATAAGATAGAAGCCATTTTTTAAGATATCAGGTGACGTCTGATATATGATTTGATGTTGGCATCACATCCATGACAAATTCATTTGGGTTATCAATCTTTAATGTGTTTAGTGGCTCGCTGAAAACAGTCGTACTGATTCTACAGAATTTTGCTCATTTCTTTGTTGTTGTTATCTGTGAAAGTTCTGTCTCTCTTACGCAGGGGCCTGATACTGGACGTAGTTTTTTATCTTTGATTTTGCAGATGAGAAAAAATATTTCGGATTTATCTCTATTTCACTGATGGCCTTTTGCTCTCTTTCTCCTTCTTGGATTACTTATTACTCACTCTTCTCTCTCTCCTTCTCTCTTCTTCTCTCTCTTTCTCCCTCTCTTCCCCTTCTGTCTTCCTCTCTTCTTTCTCCTTTT